TACTGAACTGTCAGACTTCTTTTGGTCATTATTCCCTAAACAATAAGGCACAACAACTGTTTACGTAGCATTTACATTGTATTAGGGATTATAAGTAATGTAGAGATGATTTAAAGTATATATGTGCATAGATTATATGCAAATGCTATGCCAGTTTATATAAGGAACTTGATCATCTGTGGATTTTTGTATCTGCAAGGGGTCCTGCAATCCCCCAAGGATACCAATGGCTGATGGTACTATGATATACTTACACTTTTAATCTATAGTACTTTTGGTATCCTCATAGATTGAAAAATATGAACCATTTCTTCTTTGCAGAAAGTCTGTAACAGTGGTTTCCAAATTTGCTAGTAGGATAGTAAGGCCAAAGTTTATTTTTTTTTAATTAATACCATCAATATTGGTACATTGAGATTAGAATTTCTGTTTTGATCTAATACTAGAGATGTTTTAGGTATGCAAGCATTTGGTTGAAATTAATTCCTTTTCACTGCAAATCTGTAATTTCTGATCTCTCTTTTTTCCCAACTTCTATTAGTCTCATAGGTAGCAGAGCAGCTGGGGGGTTAACATGATACACATTCACACCCAGTTTGTATACATCCCAGCTAGGGCACTATAGAATCAGGGAAACATAGTTAATGTCTGTATTTGGATAAACTGTATTTTTGATATTTCTCTTTTTTTCTCATTTACAGGGAGTTGATTTTCATATGGAGTAAACTACAGCTTAAATCTAATCCTTCAAAACAAGTTTTTGTAGATCAATGCTACCAGCTTTTAAGAACAGCAACTAATGTGAGAGTCATATTTCCTTTCATGAAAATCATTAAAGATGAGGTAAATAGGATATATTTAACCCTTGAATTTTAAATTAGGTTTAAATGACAGTTCACTAAAACTTGAATCTCTTATGATAAAATATATTTGATTATAAAATTGAAGGGAAGGAGGATTTTAAGGCTACATTCTCTGTATATTACATCCTTCTCTCCCCCAGCTGCAAAATCCCAACGTGGTACAATGGGGATATTAGATATAAGTGAAAATAACTGAAAAAAAGTAAATTTATTGAGGTTTAAAATTTAATATGGGAACGATGGCTTCCATAAGAAGCTATTATCTCTTTTTATAATTAAGTTTGTCACTTTGAACATTTTCCTAAGTCCCGTTTGCAGAATCTTAACTAATTTGCAAATGAACTTTGTATATCTGTCGTTAATACCTATTCACTGTCACAGAAACTTAGTTCACTGTTTTAAGTCTGGTGTTTATGTGAAAAGGAACGATGAACTCTAAGGCATTTTTGAAACTTAAGGACAAGTTTTAAAGTGTTAATTTGAAATAACTGTAAAAACCCATTACCTGTTTTTAAAACCAGTCCTGAATTAAGTTTTTCTTGGGCCACTTGCAAGTGAGTACAATTCTATATATGAGCCTTTTATGAAAGTAGATCCTGAATATCCTCTAATGTTTCCTCCCAGATATTAACAGGACCTTGAATACAAAGACAGGAAAGATAAAGCCACTTTACATTTTAGGTAGATCCACTTAACTGAATCTTTATGTGGGTTACTTTTAAACATATAAGGAGGCATCCATTCAATAATATATTTTAATTTTTTCTTATGTATATATGCATTTATTACATTCATTATCACATCACTCATTAGATGTATTACCATGTAGTGATCATATTCCCCTAATATAAAGTTGGCAGCATTGTATGGGAGTTTTTTCTTTTTTATTTCTAATTTATTTTGCAAACTGCATTCATAACATCCTTATTAAATAGTACATGTCATTTAAATGTACCGTCAAAGTTAACCTCGCCCTTCACCAAAAAAACAGAAAACAAACTATGCTACAGAGCACTTTTTAACATTTGATGTACATCAGAATTACCAGTAAAACTTTATTTTTAAAAATAAAGATTAGTACATGTCATTTAAATGTACCGTCAAAGTTAACCTCGCCCTTCACCAAAAAAACAGAAACTATGCTACAGAGCACTTTTTAACATTTGATGTACATCAGAATTACCAGTAAAACTTTATTTTTAAAAATAAAGACGAATCTCTATTTTTGTTTTATATGATTCTTATTTGCACCAAAAGTTAAGATACTGTTATAGAAAGCTTAAAATATAAGCAATGTTCTACCAGTTATCACAGAGCTTTCTTAATTTCACATGTATGTTCAACCTAAGAATATATCATAAAGGAAAAATTAAAAGATGAAATTAATATTAAAATATGATGCTTAATAGTTTACACTCTACTAAAAATGCTTTCATCCGATGGAACAGATCATTCATAGGCTTCAGTGCTATGAAAAGAGGCACAGTTACATGCTGTGTGAGTTCAGGAAACATTACAGATGCTGTATCTGAAAAGGCTTCACAGAGAAAGGTGCTGTAAGCTGGGTTTTGAATGATAGACGAGGATAGTACTAACACTTGTAGAGAACTTAGTAGTTTACAGAGCACTTCTTCCTCATCTTATTTGCTTTTCACAGCCATCCAGTGACATTAATAGGGTAGCAGAGAAATGTGGGGAAGTGGGTGGGAAATGAGACTAATTTGAGAGACTGTGTGTATGGGGGGTGTGGGGGTGTTGGAGATCCAAAAGGACTTAGAATGCTACACTAAAAGTTGGAACTTCAGCTCATAAATACTCTGGAATCATTAAAGGATTTCAGGGAAGAAAGTAGCCTGTTCCCTTTTTTGATGATACTAAAATGTTTAAACTTGAGCAGAGCATCTGGATGAATTATAAGTTTATGAGTCAAGATAGAGGATTCAGATAGAACTTGGGAGAAAGAGAAATTCTGTTTTGAACCAGTGGATTTTGAATTTGGTAT